GATGGCGGGCGAGGGGCTGTGTGGCAGGCAGGGGCGCGTGGTGCCGAACCTCCCCAGTAAATCACTGCAAACATGCATTGCTGCAGCTGGGGTTTTGTTCAAAGCAGCTTGGTGCACAGGACCCCCGTGGAGCACACTCTACACATCGCATGACAAAGCCTTGTCCACAAGATACAAAAGCTAACATTCACGTGAGATGGTTCGATGTTGTGGTGGAACAAATTGTCACTGTGTTTGTTAATCTTCTCTTGGATTTGTTTACACTCCTAAAAGGAAGCTGGGTTGCCTCACCCTTGAAATCCTTGTGAATGTGAAAAAACCTTCTTAGGCAGCAGTAGCTTTGAATCTCTCTTCCTGCGGCCAGTGCTGCGGGACGGCAAGCAGCACCTCTGACGGCGAGGTGGGGGACGTGGGGGTGTCCTTCCTCTGAAGCGTTTGCTTTGTACAAGGCCATCGTTCAGCCTGGAAGCAGAGGCGAGGGATGAGCAGCAGCTCCCCACACGTCTCAGGGGGGTCCCCACCATCTGCCTGCAGCCCCTTACGTGCCCAAACAGCTCCTGCCTGCAGGCTGGCGCCGCAGGCTCCCGCAGCCGAGCCGTGGGGCGAAGGCTGCCGCCCTCCCAGCACTAGGGGAGGCTGGGGGAGGCGGGCGGCTGTGGCAGCCTGGTGCTTTATTTCCGTAAAGTTTCCTGAATTGGTGGGTATGTAAATCCTCGTGACTCCTAGTGCTTGGCTGTGAAAAGAGCCACCGAATGAGTGTGTTGTTTTCCGATTTCTCCCTTTAATGTATTTTACCAGCAGCCTAGTGACGGGCCTGACACGCCAGCTCCTGTGTACGCTCCTGTGCTTTGGGAGTGCAGCATTAATAACACACTTCCATGCATCATGCCATTTTTAAGCATGATCGTTATGATAAAGGGCATATACTTAATTACAGGCCTGCTTAATTACAGCTCTGTTGAAGCTCGTTTGTTTAGGAGAGTGCTAATTGCGCTGCTGAGCCTTTGGCACACCCTCCTTTCATCTGCTGCTTTGCTCTGCAGTTTTGAGCTCCGGGAGGGCTGGAGTGCGCGAGGACCGAAGGACGGATGGAGGCAGTCTGGCGGGAGCTGCCGGGGGAACGTGCACGCTCATCGCGGCTTATTCTTTAAATTACTTTACAAAAGCCAGCGTGTGACTGATCAAAGCAGGTTTCTGTCGGGATAACAAATGCAGATGGTCTTTCAGGTTCAAAACTTCCTGGATTTGGTGATGCTGCTTTTCATCTGTTTCCTTTTGTTTCATGTAGCACTGTGGCTGCCACATAGCACCTTTGATAATGAAATTACTCCAGTGGAGAGGTTTTTTTTAAGTCAAAAATATACAAAGCAAATGTAAAATGCTAAGTATTCTTAAATAACCCTTGTTAAATCACTAACATGGTAACTCACTGGTGCTGATGGAAGTTACAAACAGCAAGCAGAGAAATGCCGGGTTCGTGGGTGCAGATGCTTTGTGAAAGAAAACCCTATTTGAGGATTACCTGAAGGCATTTCAGGGCTTAAATTTGGTCTAGTTTGAAGCTTTTATTTCTTTCAGAGCTGAAATTTAAAGACTTAAAATGTTAAAGGTGCAACTGAAATAAAGCAGGTGTATTTGGGGCTGCACTCTGCCTTAGAAATGTGCCGTTTTCAGTCTTGTGGGGAAATTGCTGTGTTGCATGTTTTGAAAGTAAGTGTCTGCCTTGTACTGACACGTCTTGTGGGAGGCTTTCTGTGAAGTTTCCGAGGTGGTGATAGCAAGACAGAAACACTGAACATCATTGCACATTGCACTATCTAAGAAGAATACACAAGACAATATAAAGGCAAACAATCCTCTTAGTATCATTAAGGTTGTGCTACAGAGAGAGCTTGGCCCAGTGTCATGGGGTGTCATGTCCTTGTGTCTGTCCTCATACTCCACTGGTTTCCATCTTCCAGATGTGGTTTGCAAGTGTCTGAGCTCCGTTGCTCACTGTTAAGTTTGCAGTGGCAGCAGCCAGGCCAGGGAGGGTGCTTGGCCGCAGGTGTTTGTTTTCATTCTGCCCAGGTAGTAGTACTTACTGCTTTGGGGAGGTACAAGTCACCTGAACCAGGCATGTTCCTTATCCTCTTGCTCGGACACCACCGAGTTCGCTCAGATGGTTCTGTGTGGTAGTGGTAAACAGATGTCTGTCCTCTTAAACTGTTTGTATTGGTTTTCAGTTTCAAATACTGTCCTGTTTTGGCAGCTGAACCAAATTGTGGAAGACTCAAAATTGAGACCATGAAATTGTATATGGATAGAGCAGGGAGGGTTCATTGAATTCCTGATTTGGTAGGGACTAACCCAGCTGTGTCTCGAACAGAGAGAAACCACTGGCAAGTTAGAGGGAGGAAAAGGCTGGCAATAACTTCTACGAGCTATCAGTTATGTGTCAATGCCATGAATACTTGATCTGTCACTGGGAATGTGTGAAGTTGCATGTCAGAAGTCAGCTGGAAATGTGACATGTCTGCTCATTTTGTCCCTTTCAGCAATGGATGGAGTGCCTTTTATGATTTCAGAGAAGTTTGCCTGCGCTCCTGAAGGGGTGAGTTGCCTTCGTTGTTCTCCCAGTGTCTGAAATTCATCTTTTTGTGAAGAGCAATCACAAAGCATCAACACAAATTACCTGCTTCCAGGAGCTTTTCTTTTGTGGGGCGTAATACATACCCAGTGCTTGAGATGATCCAGGGTTGCACTTCACAATACTTTCCCATAGGGTGGGAATGGCTTTTGCCAGATAACTTCTAAAACTGAATTCTCTAGGGAGGTGAAGGTTTATCACCATCAGAAATAGGAATAGGAATAGTGCTGGAAGCATTTCAAACTTCTTAGCATAGGTTGTAAAGAAAGCTACAAATGTACAGCTCTCCTAGATTTAACCTGCTGTGGAGATGGAATAGTGCAGTCAGCTTTACGACTTTGCTTTTGCACCCCAGAAGTTCAAGGCAATGGTAACGTCATGGTGCTCCCTGGCGCTGGCAGCTGCCGCAGCTCGGCAGGCTGCCGCAAGGCTCCTGAGGCTTCTCTGCTCCTGTGCGGGCAGAGCCGGGCAGCGGCGTGTGGGCGAGGATCTTCCAGATCTTCCAGAGCTACTCAGTCTTGGTGGGTGCTGGTGGTTTTGCAGGTGGAGCACGAGTGGCTGTAGCTGACCGGGGGTAGCAGGGCTGCCACGGCTGCGCTGGACGAAATCCAGTTTGGTGGGGAGGCTGCGCCCTCCTGTTTACCAGTTCCAGCCTGGAAAGTTTGCGGAGGCGGCTGTGTCTTAATGACACCGCAGCTGGACCTCGGCTGGGTTCCAGGGAGCAGGAGCAGGGATGGAAAAATGATTTTAGGATTCCCGTTGCCCTCTGTCATGGGAGATTATCTGAGCCAAAGTGTCTCAAGCGCAGCAGCAAACCAGACTGGGTTATTTTCACATACGGCAGGTTTCTAAGCGAGTTCACTCCTCAAGCGGAGTCCTGCTCGGTGTGCCTGTGCTGCACGGCTCCTGCCTGGCAGCGGGGCGAGCTCGGCACTGCGTCCTGCCTGCTCGGTGCTGAGCACTGCAGTGCCCGCGGAGGGTGCCACCAACAGCCTGGGCAGGGCAGGTTTGCTCAGCCGAAACGGAAACCCCAGTACCAATTCAGAATGACTTTTGAGCATCGCTGGCCCAGCACTAACTTAAGTTGGTGATCCAGAGCTCAAAGGCTCAGCATCCCATTAGCAGTTCCCTAATCCATCCAATCCTAAAATAATATCTCTTTAAAAATCAGTTTACGAGAAGCTGTTATGGCAAACACTGAGCCATCAGCTGTATCTGATTTTTCACGTTGTGCTCCCGCTTTGTGCTTTCTTCTTCCTGCTGACACAACCTGCATGTGCAACTGGACGCAGTTTTTCACAACCATTGCTTTCTGAAAGGGTTGTTTATGGGCTGTTATTCCCAGAAAGCTGGAGTCCCTGCTGCGAGGACAAATGCAGAGAGATTAGGTCATGCTAATCTTCCCCTCGGATCCTTTAGACACCATTGCCACCATATGGTCAGTTTGGTCGGGGCTTCCCACAGCCGGTGCTGCTCACACCTATGTGCTGCAGCCATACGAAATCCATAGGGTGTTAACAAAGTGCGTTCCAGTAACAGCCGTCTTGTGGCAGGGAGGTGGCTAAAGATCTACCTGTGCAAAGCAACACTGAGATGAGCGTCAGCTGTCCCTGCTTAGGGAGAAAGGCGTTAGAGCTGTTATCCCTAACCCGCCTACTGCTTCTTCACTCTTGTGGTGGTCTGAGAAACAGGATTATGCATGTGTTTACAGATGGTGCCTCTAAATCTGGTGATAGAGTATTTGCTGACTTCAAACAAAACAAAACCAATTTTTTTTTTTCCCCCCTTGCTAGATGCAGCCAGTTGATCTCTTGGGCATCACAATCAAAACCCTTGCAGAAATCGAAAAGGAGGTAGGTACCCAGCCAGGCACTAAGCAAAAGTGTCACGAGAGCTATGTTCACTTTGTTGTAAGATCCCTTCCCTTACGGAAAAGGCCTCTCTTGTCGTTCCGAAGTCACTGCTGCTGGATAAAGTCAATGTGGAGTCAAACAGTAAGCTCAGAATTAGGGATGTCATCTGTGATCTGTGCTGGGTGAAGATGCTTTAGCTGTTGAATCTAATGGCAAAGTCTGCTGCCCTCTGTTTAATTCCAGATGTCTGTCTTATTTAACCTTTCTTTCTCATTTATTAACAAAACACGTTACAAGCAGGACGCTGTTTGTGTTAGGTTGCCTCTTGCATCTCGGGGAAGCAAATGAACTTGATTAAGCAATGTCAGGTGAACTACTTCATCATTTTTGAGTTTGATGGTGCTGGTAACTTGTTACCAGGAAAAACAGGCTGTGCTTTCAGTGCGTGTGAGTCTTCCAGGAGCTCAGGGAGGAGACAGCCATCAAACTGAGGATGGTCTCGTGTTCCCGAGGGAGGATTTTGGCACATGCATGGTGCTGAGGAGCCACCTGCTCTGCAAAGGCTGCTTCTCAGCTGAAGTTTCAGACCAGGAGGAAAATTGTCTCAGCAGCACATGCTTCTTTGGGCACCGTCGGTCACAAACATCTTCTCTTGTGCCAACCATCTGGGTTAAAGGCAAAGAGTAAGAAGATGGCATAGCAAAACTTCCAGACTCCTCATGGCTTCTCTACTTTCTGATTCCAGTTGTGAGTCCAGTTTCCTAAATCCATCCTCTTCTCCTGCCTGGAAGTTTTGTCTGAGTGCGAAGAGAAGGTGGTCAGTTGCCAGGGCTTTCCAGGCACCTGGTGGGCCAGGGAGGCAGCGACAGCAGCTCTGAAGATGCTGCCCAACGGGGGCGATCGCTGGCAGAAGCACCCGCTGCCTCGGGCGCTGCAGTCCCGCTGCGTGACACGCGTGCCATGTTTCTGTTTGGGACTGCCTGCGTCTGTCACCGCTGCCTCGGCGCTGCAGTCCCGCTGCGTGACACGCGTGCCATGTTTCTGTTTGGGACTGCCTGCGTCTGTCATGAGGGCACCGTGCACTGGGAGCCAGGGATGCTCAGGGCTGGTGGCCCCTACATATGCCTACCTCCTTTCCCCAGCGCTTGCCAGGAGCTGGCCATGGGGCAGTGGGTCCCCTTTGCCGGAGGGAAAGCAAAGTGGCGTTGGATTTGCTTCTGCAGCCCTCTGCGTGTCACCTGGTGCGGGGAGAGATCTCGGCAGCTCAGGGCACTGCCTGGATGGGTGGGCTGTGCAGCCCTCCCCCATGCCACTCGCAGGCCTGTGGAGTGCAGGGTCACCGGCACCAGAGTCATTTGTGCGGCCTTGGGAGGAGAGGTTGATACCTGCTGGCTCTCCCCACACCCTCCTGTTCCGTTACAGGCTGTGTGCGTTTCAGAGTAATGAAAAGTATAATTATGCAGCCCATATTCCTTGATGGAGCATCTTGTCTGCACATAGATAGCTACGCATATAAATATTGTGAATTTCTGCATGGCTTTATTTCCCTTGCAAGCAATAGCACCATTACAGCAAATCTTCTGGATTTCCAAAGCAGCGAGAACATTTTCCCTGGAGCTAGATGCCTTGCAAAAAATATTCCCAAAGAATTCCAAGAGTTATTATTCTCTGTCGCCACATTTGCAGATGTATGCACCCATCCTCCAAGCTGCGAGGCAAGCAGAATGAAAGGACTCCACCCTTTCAGGAAAGCTGATGAAAATAGGCGCAAATCCTGTACTGCACACTCAGGCTGCACCTGAAGTCAACATCTCATTGCACCGGGACTGCACAGCTGTGCCCTGAGGAGCGTATGAAGAAGTGGTGTATGAAGAGGCAGTGAAGCCCAGCGGGTGAAGGCAGGTTTAAGCTGAGGGCACCGTTCGCTCACGGCTGTTTCGGTGGACGTAGGGCGCAGAGGAGCAGAGCCCTGGCAGCGCCGTGGCTGGCTTTCGCTGCGGGGCTGCAGGGGGTTTGTCCTCGCTGGTCCTGCCTGAGCTGAGTAGGGGAACGTCACTGAGCGGGCATCTCGGCAGGTGAGGCAGCCTCTGTACGGTGCAGAGCAGTGCAGGCAGCAGCGAAAGCATCGGGACTGTTCACGGCTCCGGCGGCGGCGGCAGCAGCGGGTGCTGCTGGGCCACGTGGCTGTCAGCAGCACGGTCAGCCGTCGGGCTGCAATGGGCCTCCCGCACT